CCGCAGGAGATGATGATGAACGGGTTTATCGAAACTTGATTGGATGAGCATATCGGTAATAGCGATTTCAGTGTGTGCATTTATTGTTCATAGTGGTGTGAAATGTGGTTGGGGTACGACCGACAACCCGTCGGGGCGAATTTCGCACTGGGGTACTCAAAATTTGAAGAATTTAAGACGTTTCCATGAGTTTTGAAGGTATGGATAAGTTCTAAAAATCCGGTTCTCCTTATCTGGGCCATTAACTCCATACGGTCCAGGAAAGCTGGCACACTACCTTTAAGCATTGTAAACGGTTAGTCGACGAATGTACAATGTACATAGGCAAGCCTTCAAAAGTTTCAGAATTTGGCCGAAAAGTAAATCTATCGCCGCTGACTGCTGAACGGTAGGCAGAACGTCAACATGCCAAATAGAAACAAATGCATTGCATATCAAACGGCCAGTGAATATCATGCTGAGCGTGTATGGCCACCCAAACCCGGAGGCGCTGTTTCGTCAGCATTGAACGCTGACCTCTAAGAATATTCGATTTATCTACCCACGACTGTCCCGTACAAACGGCTGAATATTCCAGACATCTCCCACCAGCCGCCGGTCATGGAGTGCGGTGCATACCCGGTCCGCCGCGCCGGCCCGGCCCGGCCCGGCCCAAACCACCCGCCTACTCCGGACCGGCCGATCCGCGGCCGGCTCCGGCTCCGGTCGCCGGCCCGCCAAAGCCGGAGCCGGCGGCATACCTGTGGCGGCGCTGGCCAGCCAACAACCGGTCACATACCTGGCCGGGTCGCCGTGACGTCACGCCGTGGCCGCGCACGGCCGGCCGTAGCGCCGTGGCCGGCGGCCGAACCACCTGTTCGCGGCGTGCACGGACGCCAGCTCGGCGACCGGCAGTGCCAACAGCCGCTCTGGCAGACGGGCGCCGCGTGTTGGACACGCAATCCCCGGGCGCGCCGTCTGACCACTCTACTACACCTCCTAACGGCGGCCTGTGACAATGCTCCACCAGCTCAGGAGTGTGTGGGTGTGTGTATAGGAGACGACACTCACACTGCCAGGGCCAGGAGCTGATCCCAAGCTCAGCTCCAGTTCTCTCTGACCGGTCACAGCTGAGGGCCGGACTCGCCGGTCCGGACTGGACTGTCACCCCACTGCAGCTCACAGCCGTCCGCTGCAGTCCGGCGCCCGTCCAGCCGCCGTGATACGCATGCTAATTCCAAATTGGACGGCCGTATCGCCGCCAGCGGAGGGCCAATTAGGCGGGCACCTGCGCCCGGACGGCTAATATGAGCGGTGATACGAGCCGTGTGCCATGCCGGTCGACAGGGACGCTTTCATCATGTCAGACGGGCGGCTGACCTCAGTAGCTGGCTGCAGAGCGGGGCGGTCAGACTTGATTGGCCGTCTGAAATAACCCGGCGGACACAAAGGACCGGCAGAATGGGCGGATGATGAAAACGGACGGCGCGCTGACAAAGGACGGCGAATGATACGGAGCAAGGATGAATCCAATTTACCCTGCCTGCCATGTCAATGCTGATCTCATTGAAAAAAAAACAAAAAACAAAAAAAATGTCATACCGAGACGTTACCTCTGTAAGTATCATTGTAGTCACTCCAAACGTATTAAGTGCAATGTAGCTAAAGCAAAATCCGAAATGCAGCTTTCCGGATAAGTTTGTCATTTTATTGAAACGGTTACATTTTTCATGCATACAAGATGGCCAGCGTAGTCCAATGAATGAGATATTCGAATTGATGAAGGAAGGGAACAGTAGAAACGCAACGAAAAGCGCAGCAAGAAATGGTTATCTTTGGACGCATTGGACTACGAATAAACAAAGAGAAGCAAACTTATCTCACACCAGTCGTCATTCAAATATAACTAGCTTCAGTTGGGCGACGCAGTTGGCCCAAAAACATATCTTCTTTTGACTTCAGATCCAAACACAAAATTATAGTCCGACGGCTGTCCCACTTCTCAGTACCGATAGATGTGTTTCTTTGATGCGCCTCTGGCTCCGCTCCGATGCCAGCAGTGTATCGGGATGCTGACGGTCGATGTCGGTCGCTGTACTGACCAGACCAGTCGCTATGTGACCAGACATGTCTGTTGAATGAACAAACCCGGGGGCTGGCCATGGAACCAGACTCGCCGCCCCAGGGCTGCCCCAGGGGGGTACGCTCCGGCTGTTTAGCATTACGAAAAATGGTGACAGACGTTTGTGGAGGATTGTCGACGAACTCTTGTTCCGCGAGCAGTACTTACACGCTAGCGGAAAATTCACCAATCAGCGCTCGGCAGTACTCGACGCTGATTGGTCCGACGCTCGTGACGAAATTGCGGGGGACCGCAGTTATTCTCTATGGACCCGAATAGGCTTTTGGATTTCGGAGGAGTTTCTTTAAAATTATATGCTGTTTGGAGCTGTTTTCGAGTTGAAATATATTTCTTATGACTGTTAGCTATATAATGACACCATAAAATCATGATTTTAATAAATATTACCGATGTAATATCGGCCGAAAAGACATGCTGTCATGGCACGGACTGCCCTGCGGCTGATGTGGGGCCCCTAGTGCCAGCGTATGGTAATAATGGGTTGACGAAGGGTTATTGGAGAAACTTAGAGCCCCTTTAGCATTCAGTATAGGGTCATCAGAGGCCGGGAATGTCCATCAGGGGTCTGAGTAGGCCTGTCATAGGGGCATACATGACACATCATGGCCCATGGGTCAATGTAGATCCATTAGGGGCCGTTGAAGGGCCATCATTGTTCAGCGTGGGCTCGCAATTACCTCTGATGGGCATATGCCGTGCCCCGATGGACTAACGCTGGCCCCTGATGAACCATCACCAGCCCCTGATAGGTCTACAAAGCCCTCTGCTGGGTCCAAATTGGTCACTGATATGCCCAAATGGGCCACTGAGATACCCGTACAACATCGGGCACATCCCCTGACTGCACCTGCTGGACCAATGCCGTCCCCTCATGGGCCCACCACAGCTCTTGAATGACCTTTTCAAGTCCCCTGAAGTGCCTTTATTGGCCTAAATGGCCCCTGATTGACTGATGTGGTCCCTATTGGTCCTATATGGCCCCCATGAGCCCTCAACGTCGGCCTAGACAGCCTTACATTATATGCCACTGGGCCCTGTTGGGTCAGCACCGGCCCCCGATAGGCTTGCACACTGGACCCACCGGGCCTATACCGACCCATGAAGGGTCTATGTCGAACCCTCACGGACCTCCGATGACCACACGCCGACATGTGTGGCCCCATCAGCAGTGGTCCGTCTATCCCATGTACTTACGGTCTTTTTGGCCGATGTGACACCGGTAGTATATAGAATGTCATGATTAAATGTCGTTATTACACAGTCAAAAGTCACAGAAAGAATATCCAAGCTCAAAAATGGCCTCAAACCCAACAAAAACTGGTATAAATCCCCTTCAAAAGCCGTAAGTCTATTAAACGCCATAGGGGAATAGCTACAGTCCCCCGCAATTTCGTCACGAGCATCGGGCCAATCAGCGTCGAGTATTGCCGAACGCCGATTGGTTGATTTCCGCTAGCCTGTAAATGCTGCTTGCGGATATAGTTTTGAACAAGTGAGGGTCGCGGCTACTAATTATCGCTTGTCACCACTTTTTCGTCGGGAACGTTCTACCTGGTTTATATAGCCTTGGGCTGCCCGGCCGGAAGGAGCAGCCAGAGGCGGGTGGGGCCTAGCCAGAGAGAAGCAGAGGGTTGAGCAAGAAGGACAAGATATGAAAGGAGGATGACACTGAGGAGAGAATTGACAATGCGATTGTAAATTCTCTGCTTGAATTTTTCTCTCTGGGCCTCATTTTCAGGAATTGACTGCTACAAATTCTGTTCGCCGGCCATCCCGCTCGGCGTTTCTCCGTCCATCTGCCGGTCGGTGGGCCCTGTTTTCTGGCTCGGCCGTCCACTGCCTGTTTTCCGTCCGGCCTCCTCCGTGCCCCCGCGGCGATAAATTTGACATCTGCCATTCTCTCGGTTCGACTGGAGATGAAGACAGAGGGTCTCGCATCTGGAGTCTCGAAACGACCACCGCGCCGATATTGTCGGGATGCGTCGACATACGACAATCAGCGGCGCGCTGCGCCAGTACTGTCGCCGGGCGCCGTTACAGCCGCACCGCGCCGTTACTGCCGTCCTGGGGACAGAACGAGCCGCGCCACTGGAGAGCCCCGGCTCGGAATGGGCCCAGTTTTGGCATAAAAACAAACAGCGGAATTGGCCGACACCGTTTGCGTCTGTCGCTCCCAGAAGGGCTGTAAAGCGGAACGTAAAGCGGACCAGTTCATCGGGCCGCCAGAGCCGCGGCCGCCGTTCGCCGGGCCTTAAATGGGACAGCCGGCGCCACTTTTGAGGTCGTAGCTCGGCGTTCCATCGTCCGGGCGGCGGCTGGCGCTCCGGCGGCTGGTCTGCGCCCCGGCGGCCCCTGAACCGATCAGTAACAGCAGGCGCTGTGTATTGTAAAACGCTAATCGCCACACTTTACATTTTTACTGAGCATCGGTTCCGTTTCGGATATAAGTTACATATATGCATCGGAGGAATAAATTCAGCCCAGCCTTTTCCTTTTCCCTCCCATTTGCACCACAGCAAACAACCACCGGAAATTCAATTTTCCTGTGACGGTCCAAGACGAAGACAATCAGCGCTCGCCGCTCATCGGGCCGATGTGAGCCACACCCTGAGCCACCAAATCGGGCGCCGATCTCGGCTGTCCCGGGCCAGGCGGCTCTACTCTGGTGTGACCGCCCCAGCGCGCCGCCCGGCCCTCTCCGGCCGCCTCTCGTCCGCTCCCGGTCCCTCCCCTCCCTCCTTCCGGCGCGCCAGCCGTCAGCGCCAGACGAGTCGAGCGTGACGCGCCGCATCTGTCCGAGACGCGCCGCATCTGTCGCGCAGCCGGCGCGCCGCGCCAGGAGCGCCGACCCACCGTCCGGACGGCGGTTGCCACCTACCTGGTTCTTGCCCTTGAGGACGAGCACGTTGGTGACCTTGCCGAAGGGGATTCCCAGGTGGATGACCTCGGTCTCGCTGACCTCGTTCGGTATATTTCGGATGTGCACCACACGGCTAGGCTTGTTATCCAGCTTCACCTGAAAGGAGACATGAATACGTTGGTGAACAATTAACTAGGGCGAATAGCAACAGCTTCTGTAACCAGTAGCGAATTGCTTTGGCCATCGTTGGTCAATAGGCACAACCAAAGGTATCCGTAAATAGCTGGGGATACAAATCAGTCTCGGTAAGTAGATATAGTGTTGCCGTTGGCATCGGTAAGCCCCTGTCGCACAGTTCGAGCAGGGCCTGCAGTGTGGCTCTGAATGTATCACGTGGGAGCGCTGGCGAAAGTCGAACGTGCGACTCGATAGGAAACTGTGGTCATTTGAACGAGAAAACATTGCCGAGTTCATGGGCAAGAAAGTCATGCACTGTTTTACGTGGTAAAACTCGCCGTGAGCCGGACCGGGGACCGTGCAGGTGGCGGCGGGACATGACTCGGCGCCGGGCCGGCCACTGCAGCGGACGTACCGGCGCCGACCGTGGGTGTGGACTGGGACTACTGAGGTGGACTGGGGACTGTGGAACGGACGGCATGGCCGGTGGATGTGAGACGGCCGGCCGATGGGCACCATGGGCTAATGAAGCAGGGAACGAATGGCACGGTTGGTGGATTGGCAACTATTGCACCATTAGTTATGATGCACATTCATCGAGCATGAACAATCAATAAAGCCCCGAGAAAGGAGCCAAAACGGTGAGCCTGACCTCGACTCTACTTCATTCGAATGATCCGTGGCGGTACAATGGATAAGACACACCCCCATAAGCCATAACGGACAAACCGTCCTGCCGGCGTAAACCGGTGTAGCACAGACGTAGACTGGCCCTGCGACCGACGAATCGGCAGGCAGTACGAGACAAGCGGACGGACGGGCCGACACCGCGCTGGCTCCACATCCAGCTCCAGGGAGGGCCGGAGGTGGGAGGGGGCGGTGACTCACGCCGTTGGCCTTGTGAACAGCCCGGTCGGGTGCGGGGGGGGGGCAGGATCCGGGAGGGTGCAGAGATACACAGCACATCACCGTGCCGAGTCCCATAAACAGCTCGTCCTGCCGGCACCAGGGCCGCTCCTCTCACAGGAGCGTCGAGCACTGCTCACTCACCGGGCTGGACGGGGCGGCGGCGGCGGCGGCGGCGGCTGTCGTGTCCACCTCCATATTGTTCAGATGCATGACGAGACAGAGGGAGAGGCGACAGAGGGAGAGAGGAGAGAGAGAAGGGAGACCGGGCGGCGGCGGCGGCTGCGGCGGGCTCACGGTCGGACTGCGCGGCGACGACTGCCGGCCGCCGCCGCCGCCGCCGCCGCCACGTCAGCCGGCCGGCCCGCTAAGCCAATGTCAAGGCCAGCGGACGGACGGGCCGGCTGCCGGCAGAGCCGTCTGGCGGCCGCCGCACCGAGCCGCCCGGCCGTTGACACCGCGGCTCATGGGCGTGGAGACGGCCGAGGAACAGGGGAGGTAGGTGGAGGGACTGGGAAACAGGGACCATCGAGGGCCGGTGAGCTGACAGGCTATACAGATTGTGCGAGGATATCCAACGAAGCTAACGAGAAAGTCTAGGACCAAACAAGCACCGAGACCATATTCGCACCATCGACAGAGACCTCATTTTGACACAGCTAGGTATACCTACCACGAGTGAGGTCTTCGGCAACTGTAGCCCGCATTTGACGTCAGCCACTATTCATAACCCGCATAGAGCATCTGATCGACACCATCCCTGTGGGCTTGATCGATGATTTAAAAAGTGCTGACACTTCAAACATTCGCAGCCTCACTTCCTGTGCGAAAAATAAACACCTCCATTATACGATCAGTATCTGCATTCTGCCTTTCCGATTGTTTTAGGGTTTAGCTGTTCGTTTCAGGCTCGCTGGCTGCGGAACGGTATTACGAAGAAGCACGAAGCTCGGCCGGTCGTTTCGCATTCCTCTCAGTCTTCCAGCGCCACTCCCAGAGTTTGGCCGGCCACAAATCACCGTCGGCGGGCCGGCGCGGTCCGAGCCGGGTCCGACCGTTCACCGTCTGTGGAGCTGGGAGCCTGAGAGCCGGCCATCGAGCGCCAGGTGGGCGCCCGGCCCTACCCGATCGAGGCTGGCCGACCGAGGGAGCTGAAGGGTCACCGAATTACAAACTCGGGGTGTTCCGTATGGTTGAATATGTGAACTTGAAATAATCTGAATAGCTGCACAGCCAGGCACTTGTGCTGAGGGAGTGGACTCAAGTGGTGGCTGAAGTGGCACAGTTGGTAGGCGGTACACCGTCGCGGCGCGTCAGCCGGCGCGTAACAGCTGTTTCCTCTCACCGCGGCTGCCGCGCGGCGCCGTCACGGTCACAGTCATGGTCCGGCCATCGACACGTGACGGTCACCCGTGCCTCCCCTACCTCCCTCCTCACAACTGCTGCCTGGGACGGTGACAAACGGCTGAGAGCGCCGCCCGCCGGCCGGACTGCACCGCCACCAGCCACGGCAGGAAGGCATTCGGCCACAGTGACAAGCAACGACTGCACGTCAAAATGCCTTACTTCTACCAGCCAGGGGCGGCGCCACGGGTTTTCGATAGGGGGGGACGGGGACCGAAAATCGAAAATCCCAAAAGTAGATACTGATTGTGTATGCAAAAAAAAAAAAAACGAGGCACGTAACGCCGCGAAACTTGGCAAGGCCCAAAACACATCGAATGGTGCATCCCGTTTCCAAACTTATCCTAGGACAATTAAGATCGATCACCTTTTCAAGCATCCTTGCCTCTAAATCAAAATTTGCAGTCTTGCCAACTCAAAGCTGGTTTCCTACAAACTGCGAATTGCTTAGGTATGAGTAGCAGTGCCAGCTATTCTTACGTTTCGTACTTTCAAATTTTCGATCTTACGTCTGGTCAGCTTCAGGGCTTCACCATCATATAGTCATGGTGGAGAAAAAGTGGGAATGTCTTCTGCTCTGACAAGTGCGCCAAAACTGTAATATAATTTCAGAATCATGACATCACCACCTGATCCATATGTAAAGGGCAGGGTGCAGCTAATGGCTAGCCGTCAGTGCAGTGGTCATGTCATCGGTGGTCACTCAAAAGGCCATGCTAGGTCATGGAAGGTCACCAGCCGTTATTTGATCACACTTTCTGATGGATTTTACTTGCCAAGAGCTTCGCGGGAAAAACGAGCGCATGCACCGTTGAAAAAAATTGAGTGAAAGGGTCTCAGGTCCGGCGACCTCTGCAGGTGAAATGCCCCAGGGTAGGATTCCGGTGCTTGTTGATTAACTTCGTCAAAAATGGCAGTAGAGCTGTGATGTCGGCACCATTGTGCTCGTCATGCTCGAGCTGGCACGACCTGCATCGTTCTCATATTCACCCTCCAATCGTAACTACAGCAGGCGCTATTACGATAGCTCGGCAAAATCCAGAGACCTTCATTACCTCCCTTTGGGAGGTAATGAAGGTCTCTGGAAACCTCATCCCACATCTCTTTAGCATTAGTGGCTCTCCTTATGGAACAGGTTTCTTGACTGGTCTGTTTCACCCCAGAATTCAAAGACTATAATAGTCAAGGTAAATCCGAGCGCACCACAGTGAGCACAATTTGATAAGCTGGTGTATCTCAATTTTCATGTAGAACCTTTCACGTATCACGAACCTAAAACCCTTTCGTGCACTCATGCAAAAGCAACTGCCATGTTTCAACAGCTGGTAATGGCATTTTCACAGCCGCTGACGTGAGAAGGGGAGGGATGGGGGGCTCGATTAGACCCGCCGACCGAACTTAGTTTTGCAGAAAAAAACGAGTGCTATCGAACCCCTTGACGAGAGGGAGTCGATGCTATATCCAATTATAAGGTCTTGGGCTACTGCGTGCTTTTTTGGTCCTGCCTGTGATCTATCCGAACACTTCTCCCCACAAGTGCTGGGGTTAATGGCATAGATTTCAAATGGTTCCTGTGGTAGAACTGCCATGCTTGAATTTGACTAATTAGGAATGGAAAATTTTCATATGGTAACGGAAATCTATGGAATTTCAGTGAACTTGGTTTTCTCGGCAATGGGGTCTGGCAATGGGGTGGGGAGGTTATAAGTAATAACCCTGCCTGGCGCCCCAAAGAGGGGGCACGATCTCCGAGGCCCTGCCGATCACCTTATACCTAACTACAGGCATCACAGCTCCACACCTTTTGCAGATGGCCAGGACCCCCTGCGATGCATCCCAACAGCAATCTTTATTCAGAACCTGCCTTGATTAACCAACGATGCATTAAATGCGACGGATAGCTCTATAATGCATTATTATCAACTATTGAACGGCCCTCGCCGATAGGGGGGTACTGTACCCCCCTAACTTTCGATAGCGGGGGACCTGTCCCCCCCGTCCCCCCCGGTGGCGCCGCCCATGCTACCAGCCTTCTTCGTGGCATCGGAGTAGTCAACCATGATTTAAATTCCTTAGTGGATTGCGGCCCAGTAATCACCCTCATACCTAGTACAGTCCACAGCAGTACAGTCCACAGCAGACTGTGGGGTTTCAGTCATGGGCATGGGTGTAGGAGCGCCAAAAATATTGGTGAAGGATGCCACCTGAACCTTATGAAAAGGGACAGGACCGTGCCAACCAACGCACAGTGCAAGCGGGGGGGGGGGGGGGGCGAATTTCGCCAACCCCTTGTTTTTCGCAGATATCTTACCCATTAACGTCAAATTTTCAATGCCTGCCTAAAATTGAATTGTGCATCTTGCCATGACAGCAAGATGTAAATCAGGGCCTCGGCTAAGGAATTTTGACTACTGGGGCAAATGGTCAAAGTGTGTTAACCCGCGCCCTGCTGGGAGGGGGGGGAGGTTTTTGAACACCCCCCACCCCCTGCGGTTTTTCGCGGATATCTGAAAACGCGGCACCTTATCATCTATCAATGTTATACATTTTGTGAAAATTTCAGACCAGGTCCTTCAGGTCAGGTCACCAGGTCGCTACAAGTGACCCACCTCAAAACACATCATAAAATGTTTCAAGTACGTACCTATGCCATAGCTACAACCAAGTGACGGATCGGCTTTGAAGCTTTCAGCAATTGATAAGTGCAACAGTATGTACAAATTCGGAATTTTCATATCGGTGACCTAAGTCGGGACAATTTTGCGACCTCTCTAGGTATTATAAGTCAATGGAGAAAATCAAAACCGTGTTTTTTCGGACGAAAGTCATTCTAAACACTCTCAAAACTAAATTACAAACTTTGACACACTGAACATGAAAACGGCACCCTGACCCCTGTTTTATGCCCCTGAGGTCATCTCAGGTCACGAATGGTATCTAACAGTTTTTTTGCGACTAACTTTTGAAAGAGGCTGCTAGAGCGATGAAACGCCTTATATATGTTCAGTCGA